GCCCGAGGCGGCGACGGCGTTTCATTGTCGCGTGGAGCGGCTACCCTCGTCACTTTTTAGGTGTGAATACACTTTATAAGCGACCCCAAACCATCCACCGCCGTCGGCGGCGTCCGCAGTCCTCTCTCTATCTTTAAAAGAAAGAGGACTTGGCGGGCCGCAGCGCGACGCTTTACCGAATAAGCCACGGACGCGACGCAGATATCGGTGTGGTGGTGGTAGTGATTAGAATGAAGAGGAAAAAGGCACCTAATTTCTGTCTGCCTTCAGGCGACACGGCGCAGTGCCTTATAGGGGTGGGGGGAAGGAGGGATAAAAAGAATAGAAGGAAAGTAGAAGCAGAAGAAGACAGCCAACGAGAGGAAAAAGAAGAAGATAGGAAAGTGGGGATCCGGTCGAAGCAGTCCAAGGGCGGGGTGCCACAATGCGAGAGCTGCACGGCGTCAGGAGACCGCGGAGGGCGAACCAGTCGGCGGGAGCTACGCTGAAGTCGGAGATCGCGAGGGCACAACCGTCCAGCTTGAAATCCTGCGAGCGAATCCCGATATCGGTGTCAGTGACGCGCCTTATAGCCCCTCCCCCTTCGCTCGCTCCTCCGCTCTCCTCGCTCGCTGCAGCTGCGCGCGCACCCTCTCTCTCGCGCGCCCGCCTTCTCTCTCAGTCTCCCGTCGAGAGCGGGTCGTGAGGGGGAGTAAAGTTAAAATCCGTTGGCATTCGCCAGTGAGTTAACGTAAACTCCCCCGCGTGATCAAATTGCGATTCCCAGAAACCATTACACCATAAAGGCACCATATAGTGTCAATAATAAATATAATAGTGCGAATTAATTAATACCCCTTATAGCATCACCCCGTGTATTCGCACTTAACCATGTTCACCCTCGAGGAAATGCTTGGGAGTTTTTTTCCCACACCTTTCCTTTACTTTTACCTTCGTTCCGTCACTTCACCGAGCGTACAAAAGCCACAACGTCACCTGCGGCGAAACACGTGCTGGCCTCAAGTTCGCCGCTCTCTCTCTCTCTCTCGTTGTAAAATCGGCTTAGCGCGGGCATATGTAACACGTCTGCAGCTCGCCAGCACTTCCTTTCCATACGTATACGCACGTGTGTAACTACACCACCAAGTCCGACGTGAACGTGTCCGTCCGTGCAGCTTGTAAATCTAACGGTTGAGAAGCGATCCATACCGCAGAGAGGGCGCTGCACTCGCTTTTCACGCGTCGCGTGCCCCAAGTGAGCGCGCGCAGCGCCGCTGCGCGTCGGGCGCTTTCCTGCGTTCGAACTGCGTCTGCCAGTCTGACCGACGGGCGACTCCGTAGAAAGGGTCAGAGGTCTCAGGCACCTCCACATGGACTGTTTTTTCTTAAATTTTGTTTCGTTTTTCCTAGACATACACAGAGAGATTGTGTGCGAAAAAAAAAAGAAAGAGGGTCGCCGCCCCGGCAGACAGAGAGAAAAAAAAATGGCAGCATATCCACGGAGTGAATGATGGAGAGTGGGGTGAAGAATTCGTCCGTCCATTCGTTCTTGCTTCCGTCCGTCCATGCGTCCGTCAGTGCGACCGTCCATGCGTCCATCAGCCCGTCCGTGCGTGCGTCTGTTCGTGCGTCCATCCCTGCGTTCGTCCATGCAGCCGCCCCTGCGTCCGTTCATGCGTCCATCCATACATCTGTCTATGTGTCCGTTCGTCCATCTATTCAACACTCCATGTACCACCATCTCGCATCTTTTCATCATATATTGCCCATATAGAAGCACCGCCATCCAGCGGACATTCCAAGGACTAAACGAGAGGTGGCACACGCACACTTTCTTACGGCTTGCGCTTCGGGTCCACTTCCCACCTTTAACCACCTCGAGTTCATGGTATATACTAGTTCACTGTATTCATGGCACTGCGGCCGAACGCTCGCTAAATCTTTCGAAAACCAAGGAGGTTACGCCCAGAGAGTACGACGTAGCAAACTTTTTCAGTCAGATAGTGCTCAATGTACATGCCAATGGCTGCTAATGGGAATTGAGAGGCGGAGAATTCGGCTTTTACTTTCTTACGGCTTGCGCTTCGTATCTACTTCCCATTTTTAACCACGTCGAGTTCATTCGTGGTATATACAAGTTCATTGTATTCATGGCACTGCGGCTCAACGCTCGCTAAACCTTTCTAAAGCTAAGGAGGTTACACCAAGCGAGTATAACGTAGCAACCCTTTCTTGTCAGATTGTGCTCAATGTACATGCCAATGGCTGCTGATGGTGATCGCAGCCTGCGCGTTAACTAAAAGCCGAATGCTCCTGTCTTTCATTCCTCATTAGCAGCCATTGACATGTACATTGAGCACTATTTTTTATTGTTCAACAACGCACAGAAGAAGTCTCTCACCGGCACCACCTTGGAGGTCAAAATGTTATACTTGTTACATAATACGGAGGACGAACGGGTGCCGCTCTAAAGAGCTTCGCCCCTGATAACCAGCCTGCGCGTTGACCAGCCTGCGCGTTAACTAAAAGCCGAATGCTCCTGTCTCTCATTCCCGATTAGCAGCCATTGACATGTACATTGTGCACTATTTTTTATTGTTCAACAACGCACAAAAGAAGTCTCTCACCGGCATTACCTTGGAGGTCAAAATGTTATACTTGTTACATACTACGGGGGACGAACGGGTGCCGCTATAAGGAGCTTCGCCCCTAAAAGGCAGTTCGCGGACGGATGGACGGCGATGGCAGCTGGCATCCGTGCCGAGATTTCCAGCCTCCTCTGAGAAGATCGCGCTGGTTCCGCAAGTGGTCCTCGAAGTCCTGCGCACCCGCCTAACCCTTCCCTGCCTCCTCTCCCGTACACTTCGACCATTCCGGGATCACTGCATTCGAAACCGTACACAGTTCTTCCTCGTGTATAAACTATATAAGTGTGTGTGTGTGCTTGGTTCCACGGTCACTTATACAGCTCTGCATAACGTCTGTTTCGTGAACCGGTGATGACGATACTGCCAACAGTGTCCAAAGATAAATGACAAGCCCAGTTTAACCTATCATGAAGAACCTCCATGTATTACATGGCTACATTGCAGTGTTCTAACGCCTATCCAGATAGCTTATATTTTTACTATAACAACGGCAAGTGCGGCTAGAAAAAAAGTAAGTTTCCCTTTTATCCTTTAAGCAAACTATGACAAGGTTATGAAAATTCTTGGAATGGTGTCACTTAAATGCCTGTAAGTTATTCACCACGGAAGGGGCTGGTTAAAGTAAATGTACCGATAGCCGTTGAAATGAACGAATGAAAAGCGGTTATTGGGTATTCACAGTTTAGTTGTAGAAGCATTTTATAACGCCCGCCCGAGTGGCACACATAGGGATAGAGTTTCCTGAAATTAACTAGAGGGGACTTTGTCGCTGCGATCTTGCAGCGGCCATGATGGGGGAATGATGGAATGATGGGTAGTACACACATTGCCTAGTCTTCGTACTTGCGGGCGGCGAACCGTACTTGTGGCTTCGTTTATTGCTGTTTCGGTTTTGCTTTGAAAGGAAGATGTAACCCTTTTGAACTTTGTGACCCGATTTGGAAAAGTAAGTCTAAAAAAATAAGGTGGTGAAGTGCAGCCGCTGAACATTTGCTGATTTTTGTTTCGTGAGAAAACAGCTTCAAGTCACGCTAACACACATGAAGCCAGAAGCAGGCCAGAAGCACTAAGATCAGACAAATGTGTGTAGTAGCCATCATTACCATGCTCGCTGACGCGCTGTGCGTTGCAGCTCCCATAAGCACTAGCGCCAGAGTTTCCTCTAGTGTGTATTAGAAAACTCTATGCACATAGGCACTTAAGCAGATATTCTATACCCCGCTGAAAATATCAGTTGCAACGCTGTGGAAGCTATGCAAAAGTTCGATCAGCAACTCTGCACCTCTCGCGCTCGGCTTTCATCATCGTAAACGACCGTGCAAGACGGGCACGTACGCGCACGCACAGCGTCGCGAAACGCTATAAATAAATCATCAAGAAATGAGAACAAACGGGCGCTAAGTGATCTGGACCAAATTATAGACAGCCGTATAGCACGGTGTCCTCATCTCTAACGCACAAAGGATTATATTTATTACTGAGCCCAAAAATAAAAGAAATCATGGCTAAGATTGAAAAACCACCGTGCCATTTCTTAGTTCGAACGCATTCATTGTTGAAAGTTTCACTAGCCTCCACAGCATTGTAAACCTGATGTATGAAACGGAGTGTAGTAGATATCAAGAAAAATAAACCTGAAAATGAATGAATGAATGAATCAATTAATTCATTAATGAACTCATTTCACCTTTTATCTGAAGTGTGATGTTACGGACTTCGCTAGGCTAGAATCAGCAATTGTAACTCAACCTTGCTATTTTTTATAAAGTGAAGCCGTATAACGGAGGATTTTTATAGAAATATATGGAAAGGAACCCAGCAAAACGTGTCTATTGGTTAGTACGCAGAAACTATAGCTAACAAGCAGCGCTGAAACATACCCTACCCCGAAGCGTCTCCATTTTTGCCCTAGTTTCTCTTCGGGTTTTTTGATATGTGACACATTCATTTCACATGAAAAATCATAACCCGCAAAATGCTTGAGCTGTGCTTAATATCCTTTGAAATAGCGTTTCCAAATGTCAAGTTCCGTGCAAGCATCTTTTAAGCGTAGTAATGGGGAAATGAAAAGCAACAAAACAAGATTTGACACTTTGATATGCAACAGCTCGTAAGAAACACTGCGGCCGCACGTATCAGCTTCCCTGGTTAACCAAGCAAACGTAATGCCTGAGTGATGATTTTTTACTCAACCATGTATGGTACAGGCTCTTAGTTACGTTGGCGAGACCTGGTTCAAGCTGATCAACTACTTCGCTTTGTCAGCTACCTCACTTTACTAGCCAGCGAAGTTGATAGTCCGCTATTACTTAAACGGCAAAAAACGCGAATAAAACGCTTCCTCTTAATGCGCCCACTGCCCGTAAGACGTACGTTGATGATGTCCTGCACGTCGAATCCCGAGAGGCGCTCGGCTTTGTCGGCGGGCACGACGATGGCTAGCCGCTGTCCGTCGGCCGAGAGGCGTCGACGCAGTGTCCGTAGGAAGGCACCCAACGCCTGGCGGTCCTGGTCGCCCATGGGGTTGGGCCAGTGCAGCACCAGACCGTCGAAGCCGTACTGTAGAAGCCACCGGGCCGCGTTTTCCGAAAACTCGACGCGGTAGCGTCGCTGGCCTGCCAGCTTGCGGAACGCCTCGCCGTCCGACCGGCGGCCGCCCACTGCGGCCCAGATCACCAAGCTCACATCTGCGTAGCGTAACGGTGGTGTTTTTCTTTCTGTCATGAGCCTCGTCAAAGCAGTGCACCGTAACTTTACATGCCTGCTGAAACATTCCGTATGACAGTACCGGAATTGTGTACATTTTCTCATGGAATGCACAAGTTTCATACATTTCCCGCGTGTTTCAGTGAGAACCTTACGGTACCACAGACAAATAATAAAATAGCATACCCCACGTTTCAGTTGGAATATAGGCTAACAAAAACAACGAGCAAAAAAAATTGGCAGATCCCACGTACAGTCGGAATCGAGGATATGCGAAGGACGAATGATGAAGGCTGAATTGTCACTTTAAAATCAGTACAACGTAACGAGGAGAAAGTGAAGTATGCCATACTGAACTTTCATGTCATGATTACCACATTTGGACGTATCATTTACCTTCGTCATCTATACGCCTAACCTGACACCAAATTCGGTATATGTTGAGCTAGCGAAACGGCCCCGAGCGCGCTATGAGCGTAGCGTTTAGTGATGTTTTACATGACACGCATATCTTGACAATCATGTCTGGACCAGTCATTACATTTGTCATCTATTCACGTCACGTAATACCAAATTTGGTATATGTGAAGCTAGCGAAACGGCCGTGAGTGCGTCATGTGTGTGGTATGTTGTCCTGTTCTTACATGGCACGCGTATCATGATTATCATGCATGCACCAGTCATATGCCTTCGTCGTCTATTCACGTTCCGTAACACGAAATTTGGTATATGTTGAACTAGCCAAACGGCCGCGAGTGCATCGTGAAGGGCTCATTATAAGCCAACGTAACGTTGGCGCACGCGCACGGTAGGCGCAGCGACGCTACGCTAGCAAAACGCGAGCACTCTATAGACTGACGCAAGGCATGACCGGCGTGACCAGCGTCCGTCGGCGCGGCCTGGCGGCCACCGGTGCGAAATCCAACATGCCGCATTTCGTGCCGATGGCGTTACCCAGCTCTACCAAGACAGCACTGCGTCTGCCTCTCTTCGTGATGGAGGGTCGACGGGTGCGCTCAAACTCGCATGCGTCAAAGCAACGCAGCGCGGTGCGCGCCTGCGAGTATATGGCAGGCATATCAGCGCCTGGCGTGGCATCACCGGCGTGACGGGACGAAACGAACGGTCACGTCGAATTGTATTGGCGCCTTGAGCGTGAAATGTAATCATGTTCTTACATGATACGCATCTCATGATTTCCATGTTTGCACTAGTCACATATCTTCGTCATCCATTGACGTCCCATAGTACCAAATTTGGTATAGGTGAAGCTAGCGAAACGCTCACGAGTGCATCATGAGCTTGGCATGCAGAATTTGTTACATGACACGCATGTAATGACCTTCATGTTAGGGTCTGTCGCTTGTGTTCGCCATGCAGTCATGTCATACCACACGAGTTTTGCAACATGTCATGTGAACAAAACAACCGCAAGAGCAAAACCATGAAATATAAATCATGACATTCATGACATACATGTCATGATTTTCCTGTTATGACTAGTCACTTATGCTCGTCATACAGTCATGTTATGAAATACCAAGTTTGGTATCGATCCTATTATCGAAACGGCCAGCAGATCTAAAAGTCGTTAGTAGATAGATAGATAGATAGATAGATAGATAGATAGATAGATAGATAGATAGATAGATAGATAGATAGACAGATAGATAGACAGACAGATAGACAGACAGATAGACAGACAGATAGATAGATAGATAGATAGATAGATAGATAGATAGATAGATAGATAGATAGATAGATAGATAGATAGATAGATAGATAGATAGATAGATAGATAGATAGATAGATAGATAGATAGATAGATAGATAGAGAGACAGAGAGACAGAGAGACAGATAGATAGATAGATAGATAGATAGATAGATAGATAGATAGATAGATAGATAGATAGATAGATAGATAGATAGATAGATAGATAGATACATAGATAGATAGATAGATAGATAGATAGATAGATAGATAGATAGATAGATAGATAGATAGATAGATAGATAGATAGATAGAGAGAGAGAGAGAGAGAGAGAGAGAGAGAGAGAGAGAGAGACACAGACAGACAGACAGATAGATCGATAGATAGATAGATAGATAGATAGATAGATAGATAGATAGATAGATAGATAGATAGATAGATAGATAGATAGATAGATAGATAGATAGATAGATAGATAGATAGATAGATAGACGTTTAATGTCAATGAAGTTCGCTAAGGAATGCTTCGCATTTAAAAAGCAGTTGGTTACTGCGTTGTCTAAGCGGTGGCAAACTTGGAAACACTGCATGTCCGATAACATTGCATGAAGTCGAGCCCACAATCGGCGTATAGCCTACAGAAACTTTCGTCAAACGTAGCAGAGATTGTCAATCATGCCTACCGTCGAAGAATACGGAATTTCAGCTTGAATAAAAGAGTAGAAAGGTGACTTTCGCTAAACTACGAGCTCACAATTTTCGACGGTTTTTTTTTATTTCCTGATTTTTGGCGTAAGTTGTCTCGTTCTTAAGAACCTCAATGTGGCAGTTGGCTGCGTGCAGTGGGGTACTTACGTTAATCATCGACGTAATATTGTTGTCGTCAACTGACTATTCACAAAGGGGGCTAAAAACCATTTGGTAAACTGCCTCTGCAGCTCCTTGGTTGGCAATAACGCCAACTAACTAAAAATTACAACTGTTTGTCAACAAGAGAGCCACAGCTTTTTATTCACTTTCTTATAGCACTACCCATCACCGATTTACATTATATTGAAACAACGTTTTCATGAAGCTTAACCTTCTTTTGAAACAACTCGTCATGTAGAAAACGGAGCTGTGCGATGCAACTTCCAATTACAGCGGTTGAGCCTTTATAATAAAGGTCCAACCATTGTTTCGGTTTCATAACGTTTATAAAGTTTATATTTTCTTTTCATTACCTTTATCGCGTAGCCTGGTGAACTTCCTTAGGCTTTCTTGTTGGATGTCAAACTTGGGATCCTGTATAGTGAAAAAAAAAGTGCCTGTAGCATTAATTTGTTGTAATCGAAAACCCGCCTACGGATGCTCTTCCACGAAAGCGACAGAACGTGACCTATATGTAACACTTGTTTAAAGGTTAGCGCGACTGAGACGAAAACAAGGACACACACCATCCCAACAACGCTGGTACTGCAGCTTTGTGTAGGTTTCTTCACCCTATTTTCATTAGTCACGCGACGCAGGTCAATAAATTATCTAACTCTAAGTTAGTTAACTCACCGATTATCTAACTCGCCAAAATCTTAAGGCATTAACTGCTTACGATGTATTGGTAATACTGCCTTTACAGGAGTGAGTGCTTCTTTGCACTACCATTCTGAATTATGCTCGACCATTGATCACATGTCGCTCTTCCCTTTTTAAAGCATCATTGAATATGCCCGGTGGTATTGGGCGGGGCGGGGCCACAATTAAGCAACCCGGCTATAGGTGAAGGCCTCGAGTCCTTGGACACGGACAGCTGCCTCGGCGTGCCAGATGGCCCATAGTTGACCGGCGAGGTCATGGATTCGCAGGGTCGCCTTGCCGCCAGGCCCCGCCTTTGAAATAGCCGTATCTGCGAAATTTGATAGGGTACCCCTTCTGCTCGCAGGTGAATTCCCGCATGATGTGCTGCAGTGTCGCTATGGGCATGTGGCTGCACGAGCAACAAACATTTGTTTCGTCGATGGTCGACAGGCGTCCCATTTGTGCCCAGCTGCAAATCATAACGTTATTATGCATGTTTCCATATTCCACTTGATTGCTTGATATGCGGGGTTTAACGTCCCAAAGCCACCACATATGATTATGAGAGATGCCGTAGTGAAGGCATCTGGAAATATTGATCACCAGGAATGTGCTCCCAAATCTGAGCACACGGGCTTAAGCAGTTTCACTTCCACCTAAAATGCAACCGTCGCAGCCGGGATACGATCGCATGCCCTGCGGGTCTGCAGCCGAGTAACCTTGGGCACTACACCACCGCGGCGGGGATTTCTATACCACTTTATTAACAAATTACTTTCAAGCACAAGTCAGTAGCATTTTTTTCAGTCGATTGTAACAAGTAGAGTCTGTACCATCGAAATCTAGGCAGAGCTGCCCTTAATCGTTTCGCACTTTAAATATTTTATGTTTTTCGAAGTACTAAAAAATAACGTGAAAAAAGAGAAAATTGGGTCCTTTTTTTTCTCTATGCTAATTTTTCGTGACCGAATGTATTGCTGAAGTTTTCAACATGGTGTAATAAATAAAATTTTATTCGCTTACTTTTATATATATTTTTAAAATTTAATTCATCCCACACATGCTGCTCGCAATCGTGTCCTGGTGTAGAGAAGTGCATTCGTTCTCCCGTAAGTTATTTCGTGCAACTCTTCTTCGCGATCTCGTCGTCTTAACGCGAGCCCACCTTGCTGACGATGTTGGCGGTGGTCGGGTCGACGCCCAGGTAGCAGTAGACGATGTCGTCGCACAGCTCGACGCGTATGTTGTCCACGCCGAAGCGCACTGGTTCGGGCCGCCGGTGCGCCGAGTGATTGAAGAAGCAGTAGAGCCTCTTCCGGCTCGCCTGGAGGTCCTCTTCCAGCGGAAGCGCCCACGCGTCCTCGGGCTCCGCGCCGAACGCAGAGCGCACTGCGACCACGGCGCCCGTCACGGTGAACACGGCTGCCGTGATGAACATGATGTTCAGGAACTCCTGCGTCAGTGAACGCGCGTTACGGGCACTTGGTTAACTGTGCTCCTCGAGTCATTCGCGTTCTATGCGAAAAGCTCTTCGAACGACGGTTTAGCTACGATTTGCTTGGAATTG